CAGCGTGTTTGAGAGCGCATTGGAATCTCAGAGGACTATCCGACGAAGTGAATTCCCTCCAACGGAGAATGAAAAGCATGGGAGGAGGAGGAGGAGGAGGCAGGGGACGGCGAGGGCGAGAAAGGATAAGAGCGGACGAAGAAATCTGAGGACGAGTTTCCTACCGACGGATCTGTTTCGATATCTCTTCGCCTCGGCCAACGGCACTGCGACCACCGCGGGCTGTGGATTTTTGCAATTGCATCGACGAATCTCGATCAGTATTATTTAGAGAATGCCGGTGGCGCTATATCGATCGCCGATGCGCCACGCCGTCATTATGGTCTCTCCTTTTCCCGTGTATTGTCGGAAACTTTCTCTCGTTAACGGAGTTACGACTAAAATAATCCGTAGCTCTAAAAATCTCTAGAGCTAAAATGACACAGCCTCGTCTAATTTCACGAAGCTAAAAAAGTGTGGCTACATATAAAGTGTTGAATTGTCTTTTTATGCTACAAATCAACAAACGCGACGTCCACGTGACAAAGAAGAAGAAGAAGAAGAAGAAGAGAGAAGCGTTATTATGCACAAAATGTACCCGACTTTGTAAAAAGATCAGCGAACCCCAGATTTTATCGTCCAGCAAAAATCTAATCTATCGCCGTAAAACCTGGAATTACTCCAGGGCTTGTAACTCTAAGAAAGAGCATTTCTCGCATTAACAGCGTTAAAAATGTCGAGGTATTACAATCAGGGGATAATGTAATCAATTAACGGCGACAATTCTTTCGACGTTTGTGAAAGTTATTAGGCAATTTGACGTTATTAATCTTGAGAAACGAAATTCGACATTATCACTGTGGATTCATCAATAACAATAATACCCACGTCATATTACACATTAATAATGTATACAATATATATTGCATACTTGAGAAGGCTCAAATATTAAACGCGATTGTTACGGTAATATGGCAATCGATGCAAACATATCGCGCATAAAATTATAATCAGCGTAGGTATATATCAGGCACGATGAATGGTAATGACTATTCTCTCACCGCGGCAATATTTCTCGATAAAAAAATTTAACAAATTCCTATGTCGGAGAACATCTTTTATGTTGTAATTGATTAACCAGCGCGTGTTGCAACTACCTTCATGACTCGGGCCTTCATCATTAATGATGTATCAATCGCAACTCGTCGATAGAATACGCAGCGACCGACGACGACTGGATTATATCGTTTACGATCGTAATTAACGTCCTGTCCTAAGGATCAAAGCTTGTGCAATTACATAGGGAAAACGAAAGTAGCGGCTTTCAGAAAGAATGAATTTAAAGAAGGTCAACGCGAGATAGAATCCGGGATCCTTTCAATGACGGGCAAAAGTCAATGATCCGCATCAGAGGCAATTAAAGACAATACCTTAAGAAATGATAAATGTAGGAGAAAATGAAATTTCTGAACGTAATAACATAATCTCTCGTTTCTTAGACTCGCAAATGGAAATGACGCGTTGTTTAAGACGTGTAACTGCCTCGACGCAAGCAAGTAATACTAATTTAGAATTTCGAAGCGTGGTGTTCCTGCAGATCGATCAGATCGGTAAGAGCCAAATTAACGTCTATCACATAGCGCACCGACACAGAAAACAACGACATGCATCTCGAGACCCGAGACGGAATCGCGAATGCCAGCGGTGTGCCAAAGTAAACTACATCACGTCCGACTGCGATTGCGCTCTTGCCTTCTTACGATCCAGTTCACGGTATTGTTTCAAGAACAACGGGAGCTATCGCGAATTATCCGACCGTTCAGCTCATTCCATTCGTTTACGCGACCCGCAATCAGCGTGTATCGGATTGCTCTCGCGAACGAAGAGCGCGCGAGAACGGACCTTCCCCGCGAAATTTACATTTACCGTCGTTCCCTTCGGTTTCCGGGAACGAACATGATCCATATGCATATAATCTGACATAAATCAGATATTACCATTGCAAAAACTGTGACATACGTTTTTGCCATGGAACTGAAAACACGATGGCGAAAATATTACGGCTATTATTGTAAAGCAGGCTTCATTTCGTAAGCATTGCGAAAACCGGATAAAGCTCGCTTGGCAAAATGGAAACCGCGTTCCGCTTTCCATTCTTTACCATCACGATAGAAATATTCAGCGTATTCGTTTTACATCAAACATCAAATCTTTGTGCCAGGAGGGAGAATATTGCGCTGCCATTTCTTTTCGCGGATGCAAAAGGTAAATTGTTTCCCTGCCTCGTATCACTAGTTGCACGAGCGATACCGGTCTTACGGCAAACGATACGTGCAAATCGTCTTACCGCGATGAGATTTATTCATAGGCGGGCCGCATATCCGTGCGGCCTTCCGCGTCGGAAGCACCGCGGTCTCTACGCGCCGTCGCGTCGCATCGCATCGGTACAACCACTCGCCGCGAAATTGTTCTAACGAACTTACACTCGCGCGAAAGTTATGTGCTCTCCACGTACACGCACGCTCCACAAAGAGCCACGCTCCTCGCCGACCACGCTCGTTTGGAGTTTGGCGGCAAAATCCGGTGCCGACTTCCTCTTTCTCTCCCTTTCTCTCTCTCTCTCTCTCTCTCTCTCTCTAACCCCCGGGCACGTTTCGCCCGTCGTAAACCGACTCTCCAATAAATCCACTCAGCATATACGGGAACCAAAGAATGATAGAGGATGACTTCCTATACGCGAAATATGGGGAATGAGAGGATACTGGCTGCGAAGCGAGATGAAAAGCGCTCGAACTGCGCGAGTTGTTTTGCAAGGCTCGCACAAGCTTTACTTAATAAATCAGAACGTTATACGAAGTTGCAATACTATTCCGAAGCAATTTTAAGATTTATGGATTTAACCGCGTTCTTTCGTCTGTTTTCAAGTAAAACCTGATAAAATTCCTTCTTAACTAAAACTTCGCACGAAAATATATGAAACTCAACGATCGCGAGGAGTACAAGTATTCGATGAAATCTTTCGCGACTTTAAACTCCTTGAAAAATCGCTCTTGAATGCTCGGTGAATTTTTAAAATTATGCTTTGCATATAATTACAAATTATACTGTTATTACGATAAATATTATCGAATTGGCGAGACGCCCGCCTAGAGTGTAGGGGAGGTCCAGGTTCAAACCCTGGCTGAGGTAATATTTTTCGCAATAAATTTTCTGTACACGGAAAAAGAATGATGTATCAACAAGATCAGTGTAATTGAAATCGTTGAAACAACATCGGTATTAATAAATGAAAAACATCAGATTGTTGTCTTAATAATCTGGATATTTAGTTCAATGCTTAAAATATAAATCCGTAGCAAATACAATTGAGTGAATTATTTATGTTTGTGGCAGCCCGTGACGTTAACGTTTAATTCAACTTTATTTTACTTAATTCAACAGCATTTTTTCCTGTGTATTATTAAAATGCCAAGTATGGTGAAGAAAACACTGACGTTGATAATTATAAATTGTTTGTGAAAACCGCCTGGTAGAGAAGCGTGTCGATTTCGTTAACATAGTAAGAGCGAGATGCACCTTGCGGAAGTGCGATGAGAGCATCGCGGTGACGCGCATGATTGTTGGCTCGTGTTTCACGATCGGAGTACGTTTTTGGCTCGTGAAATCACACCCGTCGAGACGAGCTGAATGACACCGGTCAGCTGATTCACGATATCGATGCGGCAATATTCATTCTTGCGGCAAAATCGACGATGTAGACCGCTGCTCCTCGCACGTAATTAACTACATCTTTACTGTACCCGTGAAAGCGATCGTCTCGAACAACGTGTAACGAAAACATCTGTATTTCGATGCGTATCGATTACGACATTTGGCTCAACCCGCGATATTCGGAGTTCGCGTGGGAGATATACGATATTAATGACGTCGCAAGCTGCGATGCTTCGCATCATGTTTTATAAATAGCACATCTGATTTATTGGACACGTTTGCTGAAAGCTGCTGTTTAGAAAATAATATCAAACGCCGAATAACGCACTTTGTAAAGCAGGCGAATGATTTAGACGACTTTGTCGGAAACTTGGAAATATCGTATGTGTTTAAAAATTATGATTCATCTGGTGCAGCTGTTCTTAAGGAAATAAAACAAAATTCGCGCTAACATGTACTCGATCGAACGAAAAGTCATGTACCACGTTGTGTTCAAATTGATGTGTTATTTTCCTCAATAAATATTATATGTATATAAAAAAAATGTTCTACAAAATTTCCTAGTCTCCGTGGAATTAATATCTATCTTCGCTCGAAGGAAGTGGAATGTAATAATTGAAATTACTGCTACACCCACCGGCTGGTCCTGATTGTCCCTCAACATTTCCCCAAGAAACAAAGCGTGCACGTTGCACTTGTGCACGACTGTCCCGACGGTGGCCCCTTATACTTGTCGGAAACAATAGGCATTATGTGCCGCGGCACACGCGCGACAACGGCTCCCACTCCCCCCCCTCTGACTTGTTCGAACTAGTTATAACCGCTGTTCCTACGTGCCGCTGACGAGGAGAGCAACAATTACGTTAATGCATTGTCCCGTGTTCCGGCGCTTAACGACTCGGCGCCCCATCGACGTTTTGCACTCTCGCAGATTGAATTAAATCGAATTACGGGAAGTCGCGCGTTAAAATCATTGTCAGGCAAATGGCATTGTCGCAGTTATCTTATGATTCATCATCTTATCCTAATTGTAAGTCGAAATTGAGAAATTAAGCATTTCGATTGTAGCGCAACGTGACGCGCCAAGAGCTGCGAAACTTCGCCGTCGGCGTGGGACGAGTTCAACTAAATAAAAGATTCATTATTTGTTGGCATTTACGCATAACTTCTTGCGTCTATCTAGCGCGCCGGGAATCGCTTTCGGTCATTAGTCAATGTGGAGGCTCGTTTATTTTCGACAAGAATGTCATTTTTCCTACGACATCGCGATGTTTTTATCTCGAGTAAAAATTCAAGTAGAGATAACTTACCGGTATCGTTGTCTCCTGGAACTCCGAGACTGTCGCTATTGTCATTGATGAAGGCCTCCGCCGTTGACGTGAAGGTTTGAGGTGATAGCGTGAGGTCCGGCCCGCTCTCACTATCGAATAACTCCAAGTTCCCATTTCCTGAAACACAAAAATGAAATACTAATTAGTTTTATGCCTCGTATCGACAATATATTTCATAAACGAAATTTATTTTAAGGCTTCAATGATAACTTGATCATGTCTGGCAATTTTTATGTTCAAAATTCACAACGTTTCGACCATGGTTTGTGGTCCTTTTCAAATGATATATATTGTATCAATTGTTCGTAATTGCATCAAATATAACTTTTTAATTACTACTGGCGACATTGAAGATTACCCCTTGTTAGAAATTAATTTTACTTATAGACCTAAGTGCAAAATAAAATGTGTATCACAATTATTATAATTGATTGATTAGTCACCGCAAAAATTTCTTATCAAACGTGATCCCTCGATCTAACATTGGAAAACAGCTTCTATTCGATTGAAGTAAAGTGCAATACGAAAAAATCTTTCGACGTGTTGCATACATCTTGGAATCGTCTATATTTGTAGAAGGATAATGACGTGAATTTCAAGAATAAAACACACATTCGACTCCGAGAACGCAACTGACTCGAGTGTCCTCTTGAAATCTCTTCCGACGTCGATTTCGATTCGTCTCAATGCCAGCTTATGCAATCTTGAGGTTGACAGGTGACCGGCGTTGACAAACGAACAAGATTCTTCGCGCGCTAAAAGTGCGTACTACAAAAATAAACTCTCTATAAACGAGCTGCGTTCTACGCAGTGCTCAGAATTATCGTCACCAATTCTTCTATGAATCATCGGTCAATAGATATATTTCTACGCGGAGAGATTTTTCTCTTAAAATTTGCCCTGCAAATCATGTAATCGTGGGACAACGCGGCATTTTGAAAAACTTCATGAGAGTTTTTAAAATTTTACCGTACATTTTACTGGTAAAGTGTGTACTAGATATAATACGAGTTTTTAAAACTTCAAACAACTCTCATAAAGTTTTTCAAAATGCCACGTTGTCCCACGATTACATGATTTTGAAGGTACATTTTAAGAGAAAATTCTCTCCGTGTATTTTTTCTCTCTCAACACTTTCACATGTATTTTTAAAAGTCAACGATACCGATATAAAAACGCCTGGGGAAATTACAATTTAAAAACAATTATTGTATATAAAAATGTATGTGCACGCCTAAATTTAGAACGTCCCAGAACTGCATTTTTATTCTACCATTAACGCGCGACAAAATTACCCGCACACAAGTTAAACGAGAATTTCTCAGCTGTACAAGAGCAGCGTGGCTTGCATATCTTTCGCATATCTCGCCACTACACGGCAACAACGCTAGAGCACACTTGAAAGATCTCGCAGACAGTGAAGATCTCTCGAGACTCCGGATGGTTTCCGTGATACAACGGCGATGCGCCAAACTTTGTGCATTTTAGGGTGCACCAGCCCACTTACATTAAGTGTATTCCGTCTTGTAGTTAATGACCGTAATAATTATTAAAACGAACCATCTATTGTAGATTTTTGATTGATACGATTCACAAAATAAAACTCGCAAACTTTCTAAAGAAAGTAATAAGTGCGAAAAGCCTTTCTACCAGAAAGCTTGCATAAATCTTCATTTATAGCCAAGTTTATGTAAACATCACGTTTTACTATGAAGATACGAGCTAGAGAAAAGAAGACCTCGATCTAAGAGAAACGTTGCAAAACGACCTAGCAAAACCGAAATCGATAGAAAGATACGCGTTCGCGTTTGGTGCGATGAGGAATCGGGGATTAACCCGGTTAGGGATCGCCACGATTTTACGACTTATTAAAATTCAAAGAGCGCGTTCCGCGGGCGCGTGACGGCGCAAACGGAGTGCCGGCGTCTTCATCCGCGCGTCGATTCCTCCTCCGTCCGATTCGCGCCGACGTGGCAAGTGCGGCGACGTTACGACACACTCGGAGCGCCGCACACGACGAATGGCTCCGTACCCGTAAATATTTGACGACAATTTGATCTGCACGAGTCGGGACTTAAATCCTCCCGAGGATACGGACGAAAGCGGCTTACGGCAGCTCCGTCGTCCGTGGCTTTCGACCCGTCCCTCTCATCATCGGGCTTACACGTCTCGAGACTCGCGGAAAACGTATATCGCGAATATCGATAGACAACGTTGATCCGCGTGAGTAACATTGTCCAGAAGCTATCAATATATGTCCTAATAAGCCTCGATAATAACGCGAAATCGCATTCTCCCGGATCAGTCAATCGACGTTGCAGTTAATAGAACATTGATAACAATAGTTAGCGTTGCGGGGCAAATATCGTTTTCTGCTGAAACCAGCCCGATTCAGGCTTTATACCGATAGATATTTTGCACACGTCAATAATAATATTGACACGCATTAACCCCGGCACAATAGTGTTACATAATAACAGAGTGACGCTGTCATAATACCACGTGTGCAGCTGTTTATTTATTGTTAAGCTAAAAAGATAAATCAATTCTTTGGACCAAGTGCTCTCTCTCTCTCTCTCTCTCTCTCTCTCTCTCTCTCTCTCTCTCTCTCTCTCTCGCTCTCGCTCTGAGAAATATACGCGCCTCGAGCGGAAAAATTGGGGGGGGTGGCGTCTCGCTGTTACGCGACAGCGGGTCGATAAGGACTGCGCTTATCGCGTCCGAAGCGCCGCTCGTTTGTCCCTGCATTAAAACGATTTGTTCCCGGTGCATTTCGCTCCCCCAGGAGACAGATTAACTCGCTCGGAGGGAGACAAGGAGGGCATCCCGATAGCACGTTCGGCCGCGTCGTTTCCGCTCCCTCGTTCTCCACTTACGTGCGCTAAAGTGCGCATCCGACTGCATCGCGGGGAGCGGTCCGTGCCCGCGCGAGACCGAAGGGAACGACAGCGGTGGGGGGGGGGAGGGAGAGAAAGCGCATTAACATACCTGCAATATGCATGCGAGGTGGTGCACTCGTCCGATTCGACGTTGCCGCGCGTGCGGGGGCTTACACAGGAATATTCGCGTTAATTCAAAGCGATGGTATGCGCCCGCCGCGGATTAATATATTCCGGATTATCCGTCTGTGTTTGCGTTAATGCTCGCGCCGTTGGGTTAGTTAAATATGTAAATATAAGCGGCGTGCGCGCGGCTACGCCGGACGTTACCCATGGTTACAACGTCGACGTGCGGCGGAATGATGAATAAGGGGCGACGGTGGCCGTGCTTGTGAAAAATACACGAGGTGGCGAAGGATCGGATATCGATATAAATTATTGCATTAAAAGCCCCGCGTGTGCGTTCCCTCGGAAATATATCGATTGAAGGATCTCGAGCGTTTTTCGGGGCTCAAACACGGCGACCGCAATTTTTAATTAGACACCCGCGATGCCGGCATACTCTCCGGACTTTCGAACAGCGTGTGCCGAAGCGCGGATGAATAAAGAAAATAAATTTACGTATCGTGTCAATACCATCGTTACGGAACAGAATAGAAACGCGCGGCCACGTGCAACGCGTACGAGCTCGCGTTACGGTTTCAAATGAAATTTTTCCTCCCCTCTGCGCGCGTATTAATCATCGTGGCGATACATTTGTCTTCGGAGAACGAGAGTATTAAGCCTTTCGCGAGTAATAAAGGAAGGATTACGCGATATGCGATGGAAAACGTGGGTCGCGCAACATCTTTCGGGAGAAAATGGCAACAAAAGATAAATGCAATTCTCTCGTCGCTGTTATTAACATCAGTCCGCAGAGCGCTCGGTATTGCCTCTCGTATCAGAGTAGTGTTCATTATGAATACCTACATCTCGCAATTAACGTGCAATACACGGCGCTCGGGGCAATTCCCACAATTAACTCGAGTTACATCTAAACGCCGAGGAAGATGGCCGCGTGTAACGTTGCGCGCTAGAAAAAATTTCTCGCAACGCCGCCCGTTTCCACGGGACGCGGAAACAACAAAGAAATTTATTTAACCGAAGCTGGCGCCAAACGACGTTACTACAGTCGGGAGTAAGGGTCCGTTCGCGCGTGGCGAAAAAGCGAGGAGAGGAGGCTGCGCGGCGTTGATCGCTGGGGGGCGAGCGAGAGGAAGGAACGGGGAAGGGCTCCGGACGGAGGGGTTGGAAAGCCGAGCGGCGCAAACCGAGTTTATTCACAGTGCGCGCGAACGAACCCGACGAAGCCCAGATATTAATTTTCTCGATGTATATGGATGAGTACTGACTAGGCCATGTTGCGGGGAGGATGCGGGAGGAAGACGGACGAAAGTGGAAGGTTGGCGAGAGGAAGGAAGCAACGGCGGTGATGGTGGACGTACCTGCGTAACGACGGGTGGGCGAGGGAGAACGGGGGATGATGCGGCTGTGCACCGCCGCCGCCGCCGCCGGGAGGTGTTCGTTCAGAACGGCGAAGGGTGGCTAAATTGCTATCGATCTTCCAGCCACGTAAATATCGTTTACCTTGCAGCACCCATCTCCCGAGCCTTTCGCATCTCCCCACTGGTCCCCGCATGTCCCGCCTCGCGTTCCCGCCCGCCCCACGCTGTCGACGCATTACGCGAATATGCGTTATCAGTTTGATGGAGATCCCCGGCTTTTCGTATCACCGATTCTGATAGCCCGACCGGTCGATCGGTTAATCCCTCGCGCTCGCGTATCTTTCAGCGTGCCAAAATTCGGCGCCGGTATCGGAATCGAGGGAATTTTTAATGCTCGATTTTCGCGTCGCAGCGAAAGTCTCGCGCGAAAGTCCGACGCGTTGCCGTTCGACCTCGTAACACGTGAATGTGTCGAAAGTTGAATGATAGAGTATTCGCTGGAAAATATTCGAGGCAGGAGATACGTTCGTTTAACTGCTGAAAATTAATTGTAAAATAATAATGTCTGCGCACGTGAAAAGTAGCATTTTTCAGGTTGAGTCTCGCATGGGTACCAATGGCCCAATAATTGGAATAATAATAGCTGCAAAATGATGCCACTCAAGAGCGCGCGAAATTGGTGTACGGTAGCTACAAAATGCACGCGTCTGCCCGACGATCGCCTGGTTTTCGGTCGCCCCACTACTGGATATAA